AATAAAGGGCTAATCCAAGGGGAAGCACAATAGATCTTTGAAGGTTGCAGTGCGGGGGCCGGTCTTCATGGCCCACCCTTACATACCCCCACACACACATACATACCCATACCACTCTCCTTGAATTCGTCCCTCTCCCACATAATAATGCAAAGTGTTACAATATGAACAACCATGTAAACTCCCCAGATCTATCATGAAAACTAACACATGCTTGGCATAAAAAGTTTAGTTTCCTAAGATATGAGAATTGACTGATTATGATAAAATTCTTGTCTGTGCACACAAGCACAAAACACTCACCATCCTTTCTGTCACAGCAGGAAATGTTTCTTCAGCTCTCTGTAGCAGAATTCTCGGCATTCCTGTTCCAAGCGAATGCAGAATCTTTCATAACCTTGAAACCTTTATCACACATAATGCTTTGTGGGAGGCAAATGAATTCATTTACATGAATCTTGGTGATGTAGCATCATATTTCTAACAAATATACCAGTACCTTGCTCTGAATACTTGCCCAAGTCTCTNAGTCTGTTAAGAAACATACTAAATATTGTGAACACACACACTAACGTGGTCTACTTTGTTCTCACAGAAGAGGCCGGCAGAGATTACTGAAGCTGGGTGTCTTATTTCACGTTGTGTAGACTAACAGATTGTTGCTCAGTCTTGAAGGTCTTGAAAGGTCTTGAAGGTCTTGAACGCTAGAGGCGCTGTCAGTTCTCTGTGCAGTGTGGAGGGGGTATGGAGGTTGGAAACCGCGCCACTTGCGGAGAAATGTTGAAGGTAATTTGTTTATGTTTGGGCAGCCATTTTCTGAGTCGGGTGGTCTAAGGAGACGGAAGTGTTACGAGAATTTCGTTGAAATGTACGTAGTAATAAGAAGTGTTTTGCCGTTATTTATTCATTTAATGCAGACATAATTGAAGAATGTTTAATATTGTTTGTGAATGAATAGTTTTCTTGGTGTATTGACGTTGTTTTTGTAATGAAATCGAGAGTTTCAAATGCCGAAAAAAAAGTTGCACACCGGTGAATGTTAATTTCAGCTTTCGAATTAACTGGAACAGTACGAGTTCATTATTGTCATTGCTTAAGCCAGTCTTAAGAGTTTCTAGGACAAACCTAACAAATCTTCACATCAGAATAAAGCTGAATATATTATGGTAGAGGTAAAATAATTTGCAGATCAGAAGGAGTGAGTTAAGCGAGAAACAATAATATACAGTAGGCAAGAAAACTTTGCTGAAGTTGTGATTTAACCTTTTAATTGTCAGTGGAAGAAGGGATGTATTTCTGAGTTTCCGACCACAGACTATAGCAAAACATGTACATTAAATTTGTGAAATAGATACTGCTTTAACAAGTGCTATTATTCCAGTTATTTTTTCTTTCTGCCAAGTTAGGTTCCTATAATTGTGGAAACTAGAAATAGGGCATGTTTCTTAAAACTAATGGCAGGGTATCATTATCATGTGTCACCAGTTCAATGTGTGAAATTGTCAGTGAACGTTTTGGTTCCAAAAAATGTTGGGAGATTCTTGAATAGTGGAGTGATTGTTAGCTTCAGAAGAAGGGCGCGTTTCCATGGCATTTGTATGTCTAGGTCTGTGCGTGGCTTCTTGCGGAATAACAAAGACGTAAGTGAGGAGTTCTCCGTCTGTTATTACTTGACGAACATCCTGTGTTGGCATTCTTATGAAAGAGAAGACGTGTGTGTGTGTGTGTGTGTGTGTGTGATGACACAGTATGATGAAAATACATGGGTTTCACAGTTGACTGATAACCTCCAAAAACCCATAACCCATTTATATATGAAAATAAAAATGTGTCCTGCCTACAGTTAGGAAATTCCCGTAAATTCGCAGCTATAATGAGATGATAAGGAAGAGAGAAGAGCATGCTCATTATGTTAGCTCATTCTACTTAATGTAAGAGGCTTTTTTGTCATGCTGTTTTGGCTGCAACAGGAAATTTAATGTGGAGAGTTCACTGGATGAAAGGGTATTCTTTTTAGAGATAAGAGGGAGAGAAGTCAAATTTTATAGCCAGATTTGAATGTAGATCAATAGAGCGGAACATGTTCCCCTCTCATCATAATATACGAAGAGATGATAACGATTGTTAATGTAGGGCCTTTGTTTTTTCTGTGCCAGAGAAATTTTTGCCTTAATAATAAGTTGTTATGCAGTTCAGTTTTGAGTGGTGTATTATGTGTATCAGCTCAATGTGCATGTGATGTCTAAGATGAGACTGTAGTTTTGGAGAGATGCAGTCCTTGAGTTTGTGTGTTGGGTACCTGTTTTTCTCATGAGCGTGATAGAGTATGTGAATCAGTCGCATGTTCTGTAGGATTCAGCTGTATTGTTTCTTCTTAACTTGTTTTTCAGTACACGGTTATGCATCAGCACATGAATTTTGTATGTGCTCCACCCCTTCATCCTGTTCCATCAGAGCGAAATGGCCGCTGCGGGTGTTTCCTTAGCTTGCAGAATAGTAGAGCATCCAGGAGCTGTGGAAGATGTGATAAAGAGAGGACACGGGTGCCTCCACCCAGAGCAGCCTTGACTCAACACAGCATCAGAGGTTAGTGAATTTTAGTGACTGGTTTTGTGCTGTTTGGAATGTATTGATGATGATAATTAATTGAAAAATTTGGTTTGAGAAGTTGTTTTGTTTTTGTTAATTTTATTTATTTATGGTTTGTTTACTAATACTGTCAGTGGGTCGGACTACGTAGAGGCAGTTGTGATCTAGAATGAGGTGCCCTGCCAGCATCTGCATATATTTGGAGCTGTAAGTTGTTCCACATGTGTTTATATTTTATTTGCAGTTCAGTGACAGTAAATGAGACTAAAACTGCATCAGATGGTAATAACGATTGGAAGGGATGTGGATGGAAGCAGTAATGGTATAATTTAAGTTATTGCCTGAACTTTTTCGTGAAGGGAGTGAGGAGAACCAGAAAAAAGTCCTCAGCCAGCCTTGGCTCTTCAGAATAGAAGTCAGAAGTGTCACTACTTTAACACACTTAATTTGTGTTCATAAATGTGAAGGTGGCTACAAATTCAGAGTTCAATTTTGATGGTGGGAGCAATGATGTGGTTTGCAGATACTTGCTGTAATGTTCTCCACATCGTTCCCTTGTGACTGAACCTGGCCTAGACATTTCTCTCACATGCCAGTAATGTGAGGGGATGGGCACTACCTCATGTATCTGCTGCCCTGGTTGCACGTGCTGACTTAGAACACTGGTGAACAGGTGAACTGATGCGCCAAAAGTTCTGTTGTAAGGAGACCACCGTTTCCATTATTTGGCGATACGAGCACATACGAGTAGATGCAGCCCGTCTGTGAAAAGTATGAGAAGTGAAAAGCTTACTGAAACGTTCCTTATTCTTCAGCAGAGACCCGTTGTATTCGTTGCCTTCTCCAAACCTGTGAAATGTCTTGGAATCTGTTACTGATATTTGATATTGTCTTACAGATATACCTGGCGCAAGCACAGGAGCTGGCATTCCGTGAGAATGTCTTGCTTTGACGTGTCAGTTGACCATCCGCACGCAGACATCGTGCACTACTTCCATGTGGGTATGCCACTGCAGTGCAGGCTGCGCAGGTGCGTCTAAGAAGACCACTCGAAGAGCAGGATTATTCTGTGCTGTTGTGAACATTATCGTGTGGAATTATATGCAGAGTATTTTTCGTGACTTATTGGCATGTATAGCCACTATGGTTGTTGTGAAGAGAGACAGCACACTTTGACTATTTATTCTAGTGTGGCAGTGAACGTCAGCACAGCTACAGGTAATAAATGATGGCTATTTCTTATCCTCACTTTTGTGTTCATGCTGTAGTGATAATGATGATTATCAGCAGCATCCCAGTTGATGTATGTTTTTCCTTTCCTAGGTTGTTTCCGTGAGTGGTTCCCGTGTGCTTATCTTAACACTCGTCATGGTCTTTATTTCCTCGTGTCCCTCCTGTAATATCTCTTATTGTTTTGTGGCTTGTACTTCTGTGTTGTGCAGGTCGTCAGGTTGACTCCGAAATTCTCATAATTTATTTATAGGATACCAGAATCAGATATCGGGTCTTCCAAGCTTACTCATTTTGCCAGGCTATTTTATTGCACTCGAGAGAAAGGTAAGTATATGTCGATGTCTTATCACCAGAGATGCCAAATATATCCTTAGAAAATGCAACAAAGTTTACTTATTCCGGGACCCAGAATATCATAGGAAAATAAACTGAGATCGCACTGAATTTGGAAAAGGCACGATGAATCTTCTGTATTGCGACCTCTTGTTTAAAAATAGCAGAGGGAAGATACACAGACCTGTAACTTTACTTGTTGTTTTTTGTGTGGGTTTCCACCTAGGAAGAAGCGCAAAGGTTGTTGGTGTTCTTACCGTGCTTAAGTAATTAAGCAGTACGCCTGTGCCACGAAGACCTGTGGGGTTGTGGATATATAGACATACGTTTTCTTGACCTGTGCCCTAGTTGGAGGTGAGTCGCATTATCGTGTTAAAATTGAGGACAGTATTTACTGCAGGGCACGTGAAACTTTATGAAAGGTGTCTAGATTCTGTCTTTGTTGAATGACACAGTGTTATCTAGTAGAAGTTTACATGTTGTTTGTTTTGAAATTTCTTGAAATGGTTTAAGGTTTTAAAAGATGATGTTGGACACGCAAAGCATAAGGTATGCTTCATTTTAATGAGTTTTGTTTGGATCGGAATTTGAGAGGTCTTGTCTTCTGGAATATAAAGCCGTGCAGCCTGTTGATATTCGGGATACACTTGAGAGTGGAGTGTTACGTCCATCTTGTAAGTGAGAGAATGAGCCAAGCAAGAAAGCAGCATGGAGGAGAGCAAATGTTTTAATGACCATGGCATTTCTGGCCACATCTTGATAAATGTTCAAATTAGGAAATAATATTTTGAACAGAAGTTCTAAAGAACAGTGCAACATTTTCTCTGTAATTCTTAGGCCTGCGGTTGGTGAGGTAGTTAATAGTGACGTAATGAGCCCAGTTTTGAACTTTCACATTTCAGAAATGTGGAATTCATTCTGTGGGCACTATATCTTTGACTTCTCATCATTGTGAGTATCTTGACCTGACAATGAATAGTTGCGTGTGAATTCAGTGGCTGGTGGTGACACGGTAACAGTTCAGCATAGTCTTAATTTTGTGAATCGTAAATCGTTCTACCAAATGTCAGTTTTAAGTGTGCGCTGTATATTTTCACAATATTGTTAATAGTGCTTTACCCATAATTTGATGCGTGGCATCCAGGTGATCGGGCCAAAGAGACATTATTTCAGGCAGAAATGAATTTTGTATTCTGATGGTGAGGGCCACACCAAGAAAGCAGAAAGTATGTATCCACCTTCCTTTGTGTCCTAGCATTCCTTGGCATACATTTTCTGGTGAGTGATGCCAGAGGTGCGTAGATGCTGTACGCATGATGAGACTGTTGTGTTTGTCTCAGATTGATGTTCATCAGCTTCACATGTTATCTAAGCGCATCATAGAGATGATGATGGAGTATTAAGGGGCTTGGGGGTGAGGGGTGAGGGTGGTGGTGAACCTTCATGTATTCTTCACCTGAGATCTAAAAGTCCAACTGCCTGTACTATGGAAGGATCCCCATTTAGGTTTATCTGTAGTGGTATGGTGGTTGGACCTCAGTGGTGCCCCGAACAGTGTCGAAGAAAGTAGCATCCCTTACCTTTCTAGCAGGGATCGCACTCTGGCCATCCATGTCGAAGCTCATAACTTCAGTTACCTAGACAGCAGGTTGGCAACCCCGGGGGGCAACAGTTTTCATGACAGTACAGCTGTTGGTTGAGGTAATGAGCTACAAGCCGGAAGGCCATGGGATTGAATCCCGATGAGGTCATTGGATTATTTTTTTTTTGTCGATTCAAGCCTCTAGCAGAAAATGAGTACCAGTAATATTCTTGGAATGTAGGTGGTAAAGAGCGGCTGGCGCGTAAGGCTGACAACCTTACCGCCATCTGCGAGCCGATTGTCTAGAAAATGTGGGAACCTTAACGTCTCGCACACCTATGGGCCTCCACGGGCTGTTAACGGTGTTTTCTTATATGCAGATCTTGTGTGATGTTTGCTCGTTCTTGTGGCCTTCAGCATGAACTAGACTGCTATAGCTTCTCTTGTGGAGCTTGTCCTACATTGACCCCCAAAGCGTTTTTACTGCAGTGAGTGGACTGCCTTTGGCAAATTGGTTCTCATGCTATTTATCGATGCTGTGTCATCTCAGAGTGTATGTAGAATGGAATGAGACAGTAAGATTTGATTGACCAGGAATAGGATGGGGACATCATGGCATTAGTTTAGTGTGACATTTGCATGGAATAACTGAAGAAACTAGCCCCAATCACTGTAAGGCTAGCTCTTTCTAACGGACCCAACTGAATAGGTGTTTTCCTTCACCTGAGGACGGAAACAGATCCAGTTTCCGAAACGTCGTGTTTTTATTTGTTATCTTAAAAACCAGGACGATGGATAAATTCCAAAAACCCAACATATGAGTGTGTTATACACCATCGTCAGAATCCTATAGTAACTAATAGCCAAGGAAGGGTTGCTTTGAAAAAGTGTCAGAATTCAGATACTGAAGGACAGTAACCGAATGGACAGCAGTGATATCCACTACAGGCCCTAGAGGCGCTAGAGGCGCTGTCGGTTCTCTGTGCAGTGTGGAGTGGGGGTATGGAGGTTGGAAACCGCGCCACTTGCGGAGAAATGTTGAAGCTAATTTGTTTATGTTTGGGCAGCCATTTTCTCAGTCGGATGGTCTAAGGAGAAGGAAGTGTTACGAGGATTTCGTTGAAATGTAAGTCGTAATAAGAAGTGTTTTGCCGTTATTTATTCATTTAATGCGGACATAATTGAAGAATGTTTAATATTGTTTGTGAATGAATAGTTTTCTCGGTGTATTGACGTTGTTTTTGTAATGAAATCGAGAGTTTCAAATGCCGAAAAAAAAGTTGCACACCGGTGAATGTTAATTTCAGCTTTAGAATTAACTGGAACAGTACGAGTTCATTATTATCATTGCTTAAGCCAGTCTTAAGAGTATCTAGGACAAACCTAACAAATCTTCACATCAGAATAAAGCTGAATATATTATGGTAGAGGTAAAATAATTTGCGGATCAGAAGGAATGAGTTAAGCGAGAAACAATAATATACAGTAGGCAAGAAAACTTTGCTGAAGTTGTGATTTAACCTTTTAATTGTCAGTGGAAGAAGGGATGTATTTCTGAGTTTCCGACCACAGACTATAGCAAAACATGTACATTAAATTTGTGAAATAGATACTGCTTTAACAAGTGCTATTATTCCAGTTATTTTTTCTTTCTGCCAAGTTAGGTTCCTATAATTGTGGAAACTAGAAATAGGGCATGTTTCTTAAAACTAATGGCAGGGTATCATTATCATGTGTCACCAGTTCAATGTGTGAAATTGTCAGTGAACGTTTTGGTTCCAAAAAATGTTGGGAGATTCTTGAATAGTGGAGTGATTGTTAGCTTCAGAAGAAGGGCGCGTTTCCATGGCATTTGTATGTCTAGGTCTGTGCGTGGCTTCTTGCGGAATAACAAAGACGTAAGTGAGGAGTTCTCCGTCTGTTATTACTTGACGAACATCCTGTGTTGGCATTCTTATGAAAGAGAAGACGTGTGTGTGTGTGTGTGNAAGAGAGGACACGGGTGCCTCCACCCAGAGCAGCCTTGACTCAACACAGCATCAGAGGTTAGTGAATTTTAGTGACTGGTTTTGTGCTGTTTGGAATGTATTGATGATGATAATTAATTGAAAAATTTGGTTTCAGAAGTTGTTTTGTTTTTGTTAATTTTATTTATTTATGGTTTGTTTACTAATACTGTCAGTGGGTCGGACTACGTAGAGGCAGTTGTGATCTAGAATGAGGTGCCCTGCCAGCATCTGCATATATTTGGAGCTGTAAGTTGTTCCACATGTGTTTATATTTTATTTGCAGTTCAGTGACAGTAAATGAGACTAAAACTGCATCAGATGGTAATAACGATTGGAAGGGATGTGGATGGAAGCAGTAATGGTATAATTTAAGTTATTGCCTGAACTTTTTCCTGAAGGGAGTGAGGAAAATTATTTCAGGCAGAAATGAATTTTGTATTCTGGTGGTGAGGGCCACACCAAGAAAGCCGAAAGTATGTATCCACCTTCCTTTGTGTCCTAGCATTTCTTGGCATGCATTTTCTGGTGAGTGATGCCAGAGGTGCGTAGATGCTGTACGCATAATGAGACTGTTGTGTTTGTGTCAGATTGATGTTCATCAGCTTCATATGTTATCTAATCGCATTTTAGAGATGATGATGGAGTATTAAGGGGCTTGGTGATGAGGGGTGAGGGTGGTGGTGAACCTTCATGTATTCTTCACCTGAGATCTAAACGTGATTATTTTGAAGATCCAGCTGCCTGTACTATGGAAGGATCCCCATTTAGGTTTATCTGTAGTGGTATGGTGGTTGGGCTTCAGTGCTCCCCCGAACAGTGTCGAATAAAGTAGCATCCCTTACCTTTCTAGCAGGGATCACACTCTGGCCATCCATGTCATAGCTCATAACTTCAGTTACCTGTTGCCTTCAGTTCAGTTGCATATTTGCATCCGCTTGCCTTAACCTCGATTCCTGTGTGCATGGCTATTCTTTAGCATGAATAAACCTGCTTTTTTCTTTCTTGTGTGCCTGCCTGCCTGTCTGCCTCAGACAACCTTGCAGCTGGCAGTGTTCTTAACTAGAATTCCTGGTGCTTCCATTTGCATGTGGGTAGAAGGAAACACACACTGTTTACATAACGTGATTTTTTCAGTTAATGACATGACTTTAAGTAAATGTGATCAATTTGACTCAAGTTATAATTGAAATTGAATCATTGTTGAAAATGTTTGACATACATATTTAAAATTAACTGTTCTCTGATATAATTAATATAATTATTTATTTAATATTATGATGTCCTAGTGGAGCGTCATATATTTCAAGGGATTGAGTGACTGATTTTTTTCGTCAGGTGAAATCTTGGAGAATTAGAAGACCTCGAAGGAGATTGCTGCTTGGTGTTCTTAGCATCACCCTTATATGAACTGTGTTGCCATGAAACAAATCTGACAATGAATATGGAAATGCTTCAGTGATGTGTTGT